AGCTCTAATGTTAAAAATCTTGGTGTTATTTTTGATCAGGACATGTCTTTTATCCCCCACATTAAAAACGTTACTAGAACTGCCTTCTTCTATCTGCGTAATATCACTAAAATTAGAAACATCTTATCTAAAAACAATGCAGAAAAACTGGTCCATGCATTTGTCACGTCTAGACTGGACTATTGCAATGGTTTATTATGTGGGTGTCCAAATATTCTTTAAAACATCTTCAGTTGATCCAAAATGCTGTTGCCAGAGTCTTAACTGGAGTTAGTAGGAGAGATCATATTTCTTCAGTTTTAGTTTCTCTCCATTGGCTCCCTGTCAAATCCAGAATAGATTTCAAAATCTTACTTCTAACCTACAAATCTCTCAACAACCTGGCTCCATCTTATATTCAAGATCTTATTGTTCCATATTTCCCTAACAGTCAACAACTTAGCTCTCAGACTGCAGGTTTACTCTCAATTCCTAGAACTTCCAAAAACAGAATGGGAGGCAGAGCTTTCAGTTATCAGACTCCTCTCTTGTGGAACCAACTTCCAATCACTGTCCGTGAGGCTGACACATTATCCAGTTTTAAAACTAGGCTTAAGACTTTCCTTTTTGCTAAATCCTATAGTTAGGGTCGGCTTAGGTTACCTTAGCTGTCCCTTAGTTATGCTGCTATAGGCTTAGACTGCTGGAGGACAAACTGACCACACTTCACCCTGCTACTGTTTTTACTTACTCTGCTCAACCTGTTTTGTATTTGTAATTATTTTTTTCTACCTTAACATGAGTTTTTTGTCTTTCAATGTACACCTGGACCTACCATTCTGTGTTCGTTTGTCTCTCCTTCCTGTCCTCTCAACCAGCCGGTCAAAGCAGATGGCTGCTTGTCCTGAGCCTGGTTCTTCTGGAGGTTTCTTCCTTTTAAAAGGGAGTTTTTCCTTTCCACTGTTTCCACTGTGCTTGCTCAGGATGGGAGACTGCAACAAAGCCAAGATTCATCTTGTCTGCTGGATTCCTTAGATAGAGAACTTTACTAACTGGCTGTTCTATGTATGTGAATGTTTCTGTAAAGTGCCCTGAGACAACTTTGATGCGATATGGTGCTATAGAAATAAACTGAATTGAATTGGTCTGTAGGATGAAACTGGAGTACCTGGAGAAAACCCACACATGCACGGACAGAACATGCAAACTCCACTTAGAAAGGTCCCAGGATTTGATCCAGTGACCTAATTGCAGCTCTACCAACTGTGCCATCATGCTGTGGTGGTTGGTTTACATACATAGCCTACATGGGGCAGCCATCTTGGATTTTGACATAGCAACCCTATTTTTAATAGGAACTTTTCTTATGTCTAATTCTAGACACACACCACAATGGAAGCTGGTACCTCACTTATTTTTCAACGTATCTCACAACATGGTTGGATGAACAGAGGGTATGGGGTGGATAAAGTCACACCACAATGACAATGAAATGAAACAACTGAATCCAAAATATTAAGAAAGAAAATATTTATTGATGAAAACAACTACTGATGGATATAATGTTTTAACACCCTCTAAACTGGTAAACAGTGTTAAATACCTGCAGCAACATCTGTCAGAGATGGAAATGTTTCAATGAAACGTCAGATAACATCTGATCATTTAATTTCTGTGCAGTCAAATAAATTAGTAAAGAACAAAGGGCATATTTTTATTCCTCAGTGTAAAGTCACTGTAGCTGAAGGAACTGTGGATCAGTAAAATGACACTGACCTAAAAAACATTTCATTAATAACGTAAAAATTCCAGATTAGCGTTTAACTAGTCTTTGATCATGTCGAAGCTACAAAGACTTTGATTTAATACAAGAGACTAAATATTAGTCCAGCTCTATTACCAGTTTTCATTTTAATTCACATTTTTATTCTGACAAACAGGCTTGATTTACAGTACTAAAATAACTATTTCTCAAGCAGCAATGTTAAAACAAAAAGGGAAAAACAAGAATGTTCCAACGTTTAAAATGCGGCTGCATTTTTCTACAGCTATGAGATGAGAAAGAAAGAACGTCTGTCATAAAAAAAATGACAGAAACAAAGTCTACTGTAGTGTCATTCCTGCACACGCAGAACAGAAACGAGCACAAAATAAAAACAAAGAAAATTCAAAGTTTCTCAGGAATTAACAATCAACAGTGACTGATAAGGATGCTGTGACAAAATGGGTTATTTTCTCTGAATAAATATACAGATTGGTTGGAGCTGATGAAGGGGTCACATGGGACAGTAGTCAGTTTTTCTTTAACCCTTTGAAGACCCTATGGGGAAAAATCTGCCATATTTGTTTTTGGCTGTGTTTATTTGTTTATTTTGGTGCAGTCTATAATTGTGATTTTGTTTCTGACTAAGCTTTAAAAAAATCCCAAAAATGTTTATTTTTTGGTCAAAATTTGTTCAGATGCTCCTGTAACTTTCTGACACTCTCATGTTCCTTATGGGGAAAATCATCCGAAGGGAAATTAATAAAATTTTCATCTTTTGATCCCATATTTATTATATCGTACAATAATACATTCATCTCCGTAATGTTTTTTCTTTTTACCTTTTTGATTTTTATATTGGCTCTCTAGGTGGTGGGGAGTGGTGGTGCAGAGGTTAGAGGAAGTGGGCCTGTGAATGGAAGGTTGCCGGTTCAACTCCCTAGACCGACAACATCAAAATTTGGGTGGGAAAGATGAAACACCCACCTGCCTCCACCCTCATTTGCACCACTCTGGGCCCTTGAGCAAGGCCCTTAACTCCCACCATCCTCTCCCCCAGGCACCCTAGCTGGCAGCTCTCTGCTCCACACAGAGGGCTGTGGTAGCTCGGTGGTCTGGGGTTGCATCAGGAAGGACATCCAGCATAAAAATGATCACCAAGTCTTCGTATGAGTTAGTTCACTGAAGAAGGGAGCAGCCAAAAGAATAAAATTATCTATCTTGCTGATACTCTAATTAAATGTTTTGGAGCCTCCATAAAAATTTACCGGAGGCTCTTTCAGAGTCACCCCGGAGGAGACTCATCAGTGCCGGCCAGATGTCGCTGCAAGTTCCACCTGTTGTCTCATCTCACAAAATCATTTTAGTTTGAATGTAACTAGAAAAAACATACTTGCAAGTTGCACAAGTAACATTAAGTATTTTTAAAGATCTGTTCCAGTGCATGCATGCTGATGAACTGGACGCACAGCGGCTCAGAATGGTTAACCCCTGCTGGTTTCCCCCAAAGCAGGACGTCGTTAGTGGAGGCACCAAGGTGCAGCAGCCGGGTCAGTAAAAGCAGAGCACAAAGGAGGAACAGACGTCATGAACAAGAAGGGTTGAAGAAAAATATAAATAATTTATAATTTTAAAAAAAGCTCCATGTTCAACCAGAGCAACTCGAGTCAGTTGGAACAATAACAAGGCCTCATTTTTGACTTCTGTACGTGAAGAGTCCGAGTGTTCACAAAACTCTAAACTGGAATTTATAAAAATAAAATAAATGTCAAAATATCATTTAGGGAATAATAATGGAGGAAAATAACTTTTGTACAAATTGACGTAAAACAAATATCTTGTTAATTTTTACAAAAAGTGAAAAGTAGAAATTTTCAAATGAAAGACCCTTAAAGAGTTAATATAAATAAAAATAAAAAAAAACTTTAAATTTGATCTTTTTATTTCAGGCTGAGATAGATTTAAAAGACTGATTAGAATTTTGTGGAGAAAAATGTAAATAAAAAAAATTATTATTCATAAGTAGTTAAATAAGATGGTTGATTCTCCCCCTGAGGAACAGGAATGGTCATAAAGTTAAAGGAACATCTGAGGTTTAACTTTTACTAAATGATGCCATAAATAAAAACTGTCTCTTTGGGTGACGACATTAGAAACTCCAGTCTTCTGAAGGAGACATGTCAGCTGATCACTGTGAGCCGAGGAAAAGGATCGGGAACATGCGAGGATTAAAGGAAAACAGTCAGAGTCCGTGTGTTGGCAGCTGGACCAGTCATACCGAAGGTTCGTGTGTTTTTCCCACACAGCGTGGGGGTGTCCTCACCTATAACACAACACCATTAACCAACTGTTCAAACAACAGGCTGACCCGGTTCTGGGTCCAACTGTTCTTACTGTACCGCTCGCTCGCCCCCAAAGCAGCAGGAGGAAAACTCTAGCATGTCTTTAATCTTGTTCCAAACGCCCGATCTATCTATCTATCTAGATATCTATCCATCTATCTATCTATCTATCTATCTAGATATCTATCCATCTATCTGGATATGTTTTTTTTTTCATTTATCCTATATTTATCCAGGTAGTCTCATTGAGCCACGAGAACTCATTTTCAAGAGAGACCTGTTTAGGGAGCAGATGGGGGTTAAGGGCCTTGCTCATGGGCCCAGAGTAGGGCGAATGAGGGTGGGGGCAGGTGTGGGTGCTTCACCTACCTCACCCACATTTTTTATGTTGTCGGTACCGGGGCTTGAACCGGTGATCATCCGATCACCTTCTCTAACCTCTGCCCCACCACTTTCCCCACATATATATATATATATATATATGTATATATATATATATATATAT